GATCAACATCAACAGCCCAGTCGTTCTAGCCATGTCCGGTCGAAAAATAAATTTTTGACATTTTTCCGAAAATTGAAAATTTTATAAGGGTTACATCATTAAAATTGCCAAAATTTGACAAAAATTGAATTTTTTAAATTTGAAAACTAAGTACGCAGCTTTGATAATCTACTAAAAACTAGCATAGAACAGCTTTCCTAATTAAAATTAATGATTGTTTGGCTTAGTTATGAGTTTTTTTAAACTATGATTTTTCGGAAAAATGCTCAGTTTTTATACCTTTTTGCGGGTTTTTATAATTTTAGTCAGAAACCTATAACAGCATCAACAAACGCAGTATGCAGATTTGTTAGTGCTTTAAAAACTTGAACAGAAAAGCTTTCCGAATCGAAATTAATGCTACTTTGGCTTAATTGTGATGTTTGGAAAACTCAGATTATTTAAGAAAATTGTCTGTTTTTATACCTTTTTGCAGAGTATAGCTTCAGTCAGAAGATTAAAACGCAGTGAAGGAGTCATTTCCGACCCTATAAACCATATATATTCTTGATCAGCGTGAACAGCCCAGTCGTTCTAGCCATGTCGGGTCAAAAATAAATTTTTGACATTTTTCCGAAAATTGAAAATTTTATAAGGGGTTACATCATTAAAATTGCCAAAATTTGACAAAAAATTGAATTTTTTAAATTTGAAAACTGAGTACGCAGCTTTGTTAATCTACTAAAAACTAGCATAGAACAGCTTTCCTAATTAAAATTAATGATTGTTTGGCTTAGTTATGAGTTTTTTTAAACTATGATTTTTCGGAAAAATGCTCCGTTTTTATACCTTTTTGCGGGTTTTTATAATTTTAGTCAGAAACCTTTAACAGCATCAACAAAAGCAGTATGCAGATTTGTTAGTGCTTTAAAAACTTGAACAGAAAAGCTTTCCGAATCGAAATTAATGCTAATTTGGCTTAATTATGATGTTTGGAAAACTTAGATAATTTAAGAAAATTGTCTGTTTTTATACCTTTTTGCAGAGTATTGCTTCAGTCAGAAGATTAAAACACAGTGAAGGAGTAATTTTCGACCCTATAAACCATATATATTCTTGATCAACATCAACAGCCCAGTCGTTCTAGCCATGTCCGGTCGAAAAATAAATTTTTGACATTTTTCCGAAAATTGAAAATTTTATAAATTGCCAAAATTTGACAAAAAATTGAATTTTTTAAATTTGAAAACTGAGTATGCAGCTTTGTTAATCTACTAAAAACTAGCATAGAACAGCTTTCCGAATTAAAATTAATGATTGTTTGGCTTAGTTATGAGGTTTTAAAATTGTTAATCTACAGAAAAATATTATAGAATTATCATGAATTAAAATTAATGATTTTTTCGCTTAGTTATGAGTTTTTAAAACTATGACTTTTGGAAAAAAATTGTATGTTTTTATGCCTTTTTGAAGGGTTTTATAATTTTAGTCAAAAACTGACAATAGCAATAAGAAGCGCCGTATGCAGATTTGTTAGTGCAATAAAAACTAGCCCAGAAAAGCTTTCCGAATTAAAATTAATGCAATTTTGGCTTTATTATGGTGAATGAAAATTGTTAATTTATAAAAAATTTGTCTGTTTTTAATAAAAACTTTTTATACATTTTTGCTGGGTATACTTTAGGTCAGAAGCTTGAAACGTAATGAAGAAGTCATTTTTCGACCCTATAAATCATATACATTCTTGATCAGCATCAACAGCCCAGTCATTTTAACCATGTCCCAGGTCGAAAAATACATTTTTGAAATTTTTTCGAAAATTGAAAATTTTATAAGGGGTAGATAGAAGATAGCTTCTTTTATATTATTGATTTAATTTATTTTTTCGAGTGCACTGGTGATGTGCCGCGTTCGTTCCTCCCCCGATCTTGAACTTGATTTTGCTGCCGCTGCAGCTCTCCTGGCCTTCTGCCAGGTGGTTCTATGAATGACTATATGTCGATGTTCCGGCAGCGCGTGGTTGTGGCTCCCCCAGTTCACACTCAGTTCTTGTGCAATCCGCTGGCGGAGAGCAGTTAAAATTCCTAAAAGCGTTACATTTCGGTTCCGGCTCCTTTAGAGCGACCTCCGGGATTTGCCAGTGATTGGTGGCGAGATTAAGTCTTGGCGCCGCATTCTTGGCGGATTTATTCAAGATAAATTCGCCGAGTGCTCGGTGACATAACTGCTTACAAGTGGCATCAGTGTGAGAACAGTGGCCAGTGCTCGGTCAGAGAAGCGATGAGCAAATGGACGTTCCCGGAACTGGAACTGGAGACGGAGGTGTTGTAATTCCCCGCCCACCCAAAACCCGCCACCCACCGCTTAAATAAAGATAGTCGCTAGCTTATCCCCGTGCCCCCGAAACTAAATTATCCCACAATTGATAATTGAGCGGAATTGAATTGAATCACAGCCGCACAGTCGCAGAGGCACCCAAATCTCGGCGCCCGGTACCTCACATGGGCTCAGTGAGCCGCCGACGCACCTAAGAGTCGGACCAATCTCGCATCCAGCCTCCGTTTCCGACAGTAGTTAGTCACCATCATGCATAACCAGAACATTGAGCAGATTCTGGCCGAGCTGCAGCGCTTCGCGTGGCCGGACTATGTGGCCTTCGTGGCCATGTTCCTGCTCTGCATCGGTATTGGGATATATTTCGGATTCATGAACAAGTCCGTCTCCGAGGATGATTACATGCTGGGCGGACGCAAGATGCTGGTTATACCCATCGCCTTTTCGCTGGTGGCTAGCTTCGTATCGGGCATCACGCTGCTCGGACTCCCCACGGAAGTTTACTCCTATGGCGTTCAGTATCTGTATGTGGCGTGCGGCGTCATCGGAATGGGCGTGGTCATGGGAGTCTTCTATCTTCCCGTCTTCCACGACCTAAACATCACATCCACCTACGAGGTAAGCTTCCCTGAGTGTTGGTATTATTTTTTCTATACTCCTTTCGGATCTTTGCAGTATCTGGAAGTCCGTTTCGATAGAAGACTCCGTCTCTACGGTTCCATTATGTTTGTGGTCATGAATGTGAGTGAGATCTAATCCAATTTACCCAGTACACACATCTCACCCATATCCGTCAGGTTGCCTACTTACCCATCGTGATCTATGTACCGGCCTTGGCCTTCAACCAAGTGACTGGAATCGGGGTGCACACCATTACTCCGATCGTGTGCATCATTTGCGTGTTCTACACGAGCTTGGGCGGCCTAAAGGCTGTGGTGTGGACGGACGTGGTCCAGGCGGTGTCTATGGTGGGTGCCCTCTGCCTCGTAGCTTTCAAGGGCACTCGAGATATCGGGGGACCGGGAGTGGTGCTGGAACGGGCCTGGAACACGGAACGCCTAGAGGCGCCAGAGTAAATATGAGATTTGCAGGAAGTTCTTATTATATACTTATTATTCCTTCTGTAGCCTAAGTATAGATCCGACGGTGCGTCACACTTTCTGGTGCCTGTTCCTGGGCGGTATCGTCTACTGGACGCAAACGAACGCCGTCTCCCAGAACATGATCCAGCGGTACCTGTCGCTTCCAAGCCTTGGTGACGCCCGGAAAGCGCTTTGCATATTCTGCGGCGGCGTGCTTCTCCTAATGGCGCTCTGTGGATACAACGGACTGCTCATCTATGCCACCTACCAAAATTGTGATCCCCTCACCACCAAGGTAAGGGCAGTACTCTGCTTTTACGGATCCTAATTATTGAATTTCCAGTTGGCTAAGGCTCGAGACCAGCTCCTGCCGCTCTTTGTAATGGAGACGTTGGGCGAACTACCCGGCATGACTGGACTCTTTATAGCCGGCGTATTCAGTGCCGCACTAAGTTCCCTCTCCACCTGCCTCAACTCCATGTCCGCCGTGGTCCTGGAGGACTTTGTCAAGCCGTACGTGAAGAAGCCGCTGACCCCTACAGCGACTAACTGGATCATGCGCCTGGTGGTCGTCGGAGTGGGTGCCCTCTGCGTCTGCCTGGTCTACGTGGTCCAGCATATGGGTACTGTCCTCCAGCTAACCATGAGCCTAGAGGCTATTACGAATGGTCCTCTATTTGGAATCTTCACCATCGGTCTCTTTATGCCCTGGATCAATGGAAATGTAAATAGATCCTTCCTGGTTTCTGGTCTAAACGATTTTAATATATTTTTTCCAGAGCGCCTTGCTGGGCGGAGTTATGGGTGTGATAGGGATGTCCTGGGTGAGCCTCAATGCCCAGTGGGCCATAGCCTCTGGGGCCATCAGTTACAATACGAAAGCGCTCAATGTGGAGCAGTGTGACTATAGCTTCAATATGACAACCAGTCTCGCGAAAAATTCAGATCATTTGGTTACATCCGCAGAGTAAGTGGCTTAACCATATCCTGCAATCTTGAAATTTACTATCATCTATCTTTTCGTGCAGGGAAATCTTTCCCCTATACCGTATTTCGTACATGTGGTACACCACCTTCGGAGCATCGATCACCATTATCGTAGCACTGCTGGGCACCCTAATATTTGGCAAAATAATCCCAACAAAGTGGATCCCGTTCTACTCACACCCTGCATACGAAAGTTCTTCAGCTTTGGCTCCGAGGAACGCATGGTAAATACTGGCAATGGAAATAAGTTCACATAGATCTTGTTTACCTGACATTTTCCTTACAGGATGCCTATAAGCCCGACATTCCACTACAGCACAAACTCCGACCTGACGAGGTGGCTTTATGATCGCACAAAGTGAGCTACTCTTAAACTTCAAGCTGAGGAGGCTTTCTATAAGCTTAGCCAACTGATTCTCTGATCCATATTCAAATATTTTCTATAATATATGTTTTTCAAGTTTTAAACCAAAGATTTTTATCTTAAATGTTTTTTGATTGAAGATTTTATATTCATAAAAATAGCTAACGCGCCAATACATGCAGAATGCATATATTTTGAGGAATTAAATTAAATCAGGGCCGTTGAGAAAATATAGAAAATTTTATTTAATCCAGGGTTAGCAACAATTTATATAAATATGATTAACACAAATCCACACTGTAAGACATGGTAACAAAGTTGATCCTGCCGCTGCATATGTGATGGTCCTCGCGGAGGGCTACTTTTGCTGCACTTTGGTGAGCAGGAGGCAGCGCTCGGGCTCAGTCAGGTGCTCGAAAAAAGTGGGAAAGTGCTCGTTCTGTGTGAAGGTGGAGAGGAACTTCTGTAGATTCTCAGCAATGTCGCCCTGGTAGTTGGTCTCCTTTAGGACCTCCTGCAATAGCTGCTCATCATCGGCATTATTTTCATCTCCTTCGAAGCACAGGTCGGAAACGTAGCGAGGCTTTGATGTATTGCCAGGTCCATCATCGTCCTCATCCTCTTCGCTATCTGTTAGCGGTTCGTCCAGTTTGCTCTCTTGGAAGTGCTGATACTCGGAGATCAGCACTTTAAAGATTTTAACGAGTGCCGGAATGGTCACCCATTTCTGAGTGGAAGCTGCCACCGAGCGGGTGCGTCGGCGAGTATCGCTGGAGTCGTCCACGAGCTCCTTGAAGGTGATGCTGGTCAAGCGGTTGTCTTGCGTGGCCACACCGTACTCGAAAAGCTTGCACAGAGCCATGGTGGTGACCTAAAAAACATATATTTGTGAGCCAACTTTACACTGTTAAAGCAGATGGAATCTTACCTTTCGTTCATAGATTCCGAAGAAGGAATTCTGGCGCGAAAGCCAATTCGTGAGCACAAACTGCATTGCGGGCTCGCCATTAGGCCCTGGAACAGTCGACAGGAAGTTGAGCACCGCGTCCATTTGGGTGAGAAAGAGGTGAGCGAAGATCACAACTAGATTCATGACCACCTTCAGACACTCGAGGTTCTGCATTTTGCTAATTACAGCCTTCAGCAGCATGTCCACGTTCTGGCCGAGCATGCTGCCCAACTTGGTAATGATTGTGATGACCAGACGCCCGATCTGCCCGCCGGCCGTCATCTCGCTGTTCATCGGATTAAGCAGAACGGTGGCAACCACCTGCATGATGCAGTTGATGCCCTCCCCATTCTTGTAGCTGCAGATCTGCTGGGGCGAGACGTTGATGAAGCTGCGAAGGCACTCTCCGCCAGCTACCATCACGGCGTGGTCGTCAGTGTGAAGAATGGAGTTGATCATGGCAGGGAATGCCGTCTCCAACAAGGTGTTACTGAGCGGTGGCTCCGTGTAGCGAACAATCGTATTCAATACGTCCAGGGCGATGTCTTGCTTTTCGGTGGTGGCCTCGCCCGTTAGCGCGAGAATGCTAACGATAGTGGGAATGAATTTCTCTTGCAGCGGTCCGAGGCACTCTTTACGCTGGCACAGCGCCCGGATCAAGTCCTGAACGTTCTCTAGCACGTATGGATCCTCGGCGTACTTGAGGAATACGGCAATGGCCAGCGGTGTGATCTTGCCTTGACCGGCAAAGGCGAACTCAGCATCAAACTAAATATGGATTAAGGGTAAGTAAAAAGTAATATAAATGAATTATCTTTACGCACCTTGACCATTATAGTCAGGGCTTCCATGAGCAGCGCCAAAACGGTAGCCTTGCAACCTGGCACAAGAGCCATGATCCCATCCAGGAATCCCGGAAGCTTGGATACTAGCAGAGTGCGCTTCTCGCCCTCGCTCGTCTCGTTCGCCTGTAAAAATCCATGTAGAGCGCGCACGGCACTAATCCGCAGAATATGCGACTTCTCCGGAGAAAGACTGCAGAGTGTGACGTCGAGTATCTCGACCAGCATCTGTGGATTATACAGGTCCGACTTGGAGTAGGTGCTCAGGGTCCAGAGAGCGCGACCGACTAGGTGCGGTGATTCCTGGTGAACGAGCAGGTTGCGAACGATGGTCAGATAGTTGAGAAGGTCGAACTTCGAGTTGCCTTCCAGAATTACGTCGCGGAAACCATGCACGGCGTCCATGCAGGCTTCCTGGATTTTCCACCAATTCGGGTTGTTCGCCGCCTTCTCCGCCTCGGCCACGCTGAAATGTCTGCCCAAAGCCTCCTGCAGCGCCTGAATGGCCTTGGCCCCGAACTCGTCGTTTATGGCCTAAAAAAATGGGAAATTGAGAGGAGTCAGAATATGAAGTATGCTCCGCACCCACCAGCAAAACATCGCGGCCGCACATGCGAACAGTGAGCTCCACACCACCGTCGTCCTCGTCGTCCACGAACTTCTCGAGATCATCCTCCCAGTCCTCCAGCTGTTCCTCGCTCAGCTGGATGTATACGATGGTGATGTAGATGAGGTCGGCCAGCACATTCTTAATGCTGCCACGCAGCTTGTTGCAGGTCACAATACAGTTGATAAACTCTAGGATCTGGATGATCAGCGTCTGGAAGTTGGTCTGTTCATCGTCATCTTCGCTATCGCCGCTCTCCAGAGGATTCGTTTCAGTCTGGTTGACAGACACCTTTACATAAGTCTCTGCTATTTGGGTGAGCAGCTGCCAAATGATGGGCAGCACACGATCCATAAAAGGTTGAATGTACTTCGGCATTTCGATGACCAAATGAGTAAACACTGTGATGGGAGTAATGTACGTTTCGGGTTACACACTTATTGTGAATGACTGTAATCACAGAAACCCACCTTTGATGATCTCAGACCGGAGAAGGAAATTCGATCCGGAGCCGCTGTTCATGCTGAGGTAGTGCATCAGCTTGTCCATGAAATTGGTCAAAATAGAACTCATCATTGTGCTCTGCTCCTCCTTGTCAGTGATCAGAGCTGCGATCGAGGTGAAAAGAGGCTTAAGGATGCGGATGGCTGACACGCGCGTTTTGATCGAATAATTCTTCTCAGAGTCAAATATGCGATAAACCTCAGGTATAACCACGGGTCCCAGCTCCTTTATCTGAGCCACATCGTAGGTGAAGTCTTGCAGAACCTGCATGGCGCCGTGTATAGAGTCCTCGTTACCTCCCAGACACTTGACAATAATGTGAAAAAGCTCCGCCCAACCGTGTGGATAATCAGTGGACGCAATTGTGGAAATGGTGTGCGCCACCGAGGATCGGATCTTTGAGTTCGGGTCGTACAGCCCATTGGGAAGGATATTGCGAATGGTGCGTTTTGCCTGCTCACTGGCCATGCAACCATTGGAGGCATTGTTGCCAGCGCTGCGCTCATCTGTCCAGCGGGTTTCCACGTACCGGGTGAGCATGATGATCGCTATCTGGCGCAGCGGTAGCTCGTGCGCCTGGTTCATGATAATCTCGGACAGGTAAACGCCATAGCCTGCAAACATTATTGGGGGTTAAATAATTTATTCGTTCAGACGCCGTGCCCAAGCCAAGTCGAGCGCTGCCTGCCCGCCAAATCAGAAAGCATGGAAACGCACCTTCCGTGTACTCCAGCTGCTTGATACGCTTCTCAGCCTGCTGCAGGACAACCGTGTCCGAGCTAAGAAGGTTCTGCAGCTCCTCGATGATGGCCAGTTTAACGGAGTCCCCGCAGTCGTTTTGAAATTGTAGCGACATAATCAGTAATTTTGCAAAACTCAAATTCGCGAAACACAAACCGGCGCGGCACCAGCGTACATGTGATTAGAGATGGGATAACGAAACTGCGACGCTATCGATTATTTTTTTCTGAGATCCGACTTTTCGATAATGGGTAAAAATTTCAAAATGTTTCATAGGGGACTCGTTTACACTTTTTTCCAATGATTTATAAGGCAGACAGTATTGATACCCCTTAGCACCTTGGTGTGTTTTAGTACACTTTCAAAATGATGGATCAATTAACTTCCTTAATATATTTATATAATATTATATTATTTAATATATTAATTAACAATTCGAACTTAAATCATAACTCATCACGTTTTTCATCTTATCACTGCATGCTTTGGAATCGGCAACTCAGTTCCCAATACTAGCTGGTATACCCCTTTTAGGTAGTCAATTCCTGGATCTTCTCTAGTAGCTTCGCCTTGATGGCCGACTTGTTCAACACAACATCAAAGTGCTCCTTCAAGATGAATTGAAGTTGGGCAGCAGTGCAACTAGACAAGCGCTGTTCCTTAATTAGGCCCATCACAAAGTCGTAGCTCTTAATCTGATCCAAGTCGATCTTGGCCATCTTTGGAGCACTGGCACCTTCGGTGGCTGACTTTGCCGTCCGCTTCTTGGCCGGCTCTATGTCGGCGGCAAAGATCTCCTCGTAGTCTGGTAGAAACTTTTCGATGCGCTTGTCCTGCTGCGTGGTGTCCAGAAGATTGTCGATTCCCTTGCTGTCAGTGGTGAAATCCAGTGACAGGGCTAGCAGATTAGCCTGCAGGGCGTCCAGTGTAGGATCGTTGATCAGATTGGGCTGATAGTCTACTCGCAGCTTTTTGATGACCTTCTGGAAGAACTCGACACCTTCGTCGCTAGCTGCGTTCTCGGGTTTGTTCCAGTCACACATGTCGAGGTGCCGAATGTGCTTGGCCTCCGGTAAGTAGACGATCTTGAATCCATCCCCGCACAGCAGCGAGCGGTAGTTCTTCTCCTCTCCCTTTTCCGGGGCTTCCACCGGCACCAGGGCCACATAGCGAGGGATCGACTTGCGCTTGCACATAAACAGGCAGATGGCAATCTTCTCGCGTGCCAGACATCGCTCCCACAACGCGCGAAAGAGACGCTTCGAGCCAATAATGCTCTGGTCATCGGGATACATGAAATTTGAGGGTTTGCTGTAGGTCACTTCCGGCAGAGAGGAGCGATGCTTAAAGCCCAGCAACATCATCTGCGGCTTGTGCAGGTTGCGCATTTCGTTTACTTCCTCCATACTCATGCGTAGATTCTTATCACCCACGTTGCATGAGTACCAGCCGCCCGTCGTCTTGATTTGGTACTCGTGTTTTATCTCCTCAGACTCCTGGTCGACCTCGCGAACCATAATCAGCCGTTTGCTCTGCACCACACTGTTGTCCCGACGCAGAATCTGCACCTTGTGCGGGAAGGCGCGTCGCTGGAAGTAATTGTAATACTGCACAGACATGGAAAGATTGGGCCCCAGATTAAAGGTGAAGTGGCCCAAGCAACGACGCAAATAGTCCTGCTTCAGCTTCCGATCCGCAAGGATCTCACGAAGCATCTGGGCATCCGGCACTTGGAAGGCGTCCAGTTCGATGGCTGCAAAAAAAATTAAATCGTTGTAAATAAACACAGACTTTACCTAATAATTACATTTATTTTTAGTTGCATGTGAGCCAATCCAAAACCACAAACCAGTTGAGCTTCACTTGGACGCGGGTGAATGATTGCTCATGTTGATCTGCGAAGTCTTAAAACCTCTCTGGCGAAACTTTAGCACCAACGAGGGGAACAGACTTCGTACAAGGTAAGTTAATAATTTATTTTATATGGCTCCACTTACCTCTTGACAGAGTGATGAACTCCTTGTAGAACGGCTCATAGTCAAAGTCATCCACCATGGGAATGACGTGAAATTCAATCTCCTTGCCCTCCAGATCACTTGCCTTCTGCAAGGCTGCCTGGAATGCATTGCTGGAAGGCGGGTGAGGCGTATTCACATCAGTCATGTAGACGATCTTGGCGTTGTTCAGCTTCTTGCCGCACTTCTCCAGCAGCTCAATGCACAGACGGATCATCAAATCGAACCTTCCGCAGCCATCCGGCTCAGCCAGGCCATACTCCTTGGCAAACAGCGTCTCGGCTCCACCCATGAACTCCAGATAGTGCTCAACAATGGGTTTATTTAGCTGCCGAAGTGGGAGAAATACTGCGCAGTTATCGGGCACCACAATGTTGTCCAGGGCGGAGGCTTCCAGGGGCATCGGACTATTCTTTGTGTTGGCGAATAACAGACCAATCAAATCCTTGTCGTTCACCATCATCCCAGAGATGAAGGCCGTTCGGATAATGTTCAGAGCGTCCATCAGGCGCTCCACGCCGCCCGCCAGCAGGTTTGCGTCAACCACGAAAAGAAGGGCCTCCCGGCCATGGTAGTCTCGCTTCATGGCCACAGCCTCCTCGTCCTCAGAGTCAGTCAGCAAGTCCACATCGTTATCCGGGTTCCAAGTGGTCATCTTTTCGTATTATTTTTTATTTGCAAGATCCGGAATTTCACAAGCGGGATATATCGACGCGACGCGGTCATCGAAACAGTTTCAGGGACTATCGATGAGCTGTTCAGTTTGAAAAAAATTATCGCAATTGATTTAAACTTGACAAAAGTTGAAACCAAGGAAAATTAAGTTTAATTGATAGAAAGTTTTAATAATTTTCATACATTCTTTATACTTCATTTACTAATTTTGTATTTATTGTGCGACCGCTTATCGATATACCCCAAGTCAATCGATAGCCCACTCATCGCAGTTTTGACTCACCCATCGACTTTTACAGCGGCAGGCTGACCTCCTGGAAATTAAATTGGATTTGTAGACAGTACGAATAAAAGGATCAAAATGACTGGCATCATGGACACGGTGGAAATGCCCAAATTGCCAGAAAACCAGAAGACCTTTGCCGGCATCCCGGAGGCCGTCTTCCTGGTGAGTGGTCGAATCCTAACCTAGCAATCGTGCAGCTGCACCTGCACCTGGGAACTGTCCACTAATCCACGACCATTTGGTGCTTCCAGGAGGAGATTGACTCGTTCATGCTGCTGCCAGAGAACGAGAACTGTGAGAAGGTGCTGCAGCGCTTGGACGAGCAACACGGCAAGTACCGATTCATGGCCTACAACCTGGAGGCGCGGAGGCGTAAGCTAAAGTCGCAGATCCCGGATTTGGAGCGCTCGCTAGAGATGGTGAATGTTCTTCGCAAGGAGGACGAGGAGCGTGAGACACAGTTTCTGCTCAGTGATCAGGTGTTCATCAAGACGCTGGTGCCACCAACGAAAACAGTTTACCTCTGGCTGGGTGCCAGCGTAATGTTGGAGTATCCATTGGACGAGGCGGAGGCGCTGCTCAAGCAGAATATCACATCGGCTGTGGGAAATCTGAAGTCCGTGGAGCACGATCAGGACTTCCTCAGGTCAGTTTGGATCATTGCACTTATAAAAACACAATGGTTCTAATGAAACTCACTATTTCAGGGATCAAATTACCACGACAGAGGTAAACATGGCGCGTGTCTATAACTGGGGTGTGAAAAAGCGACAGGCCGATGCCAAGAACAACGCCAATAGTCCCTCGTCCTAAGACTTCGCTTAAGGAACCCATCCCAACATCAAACTCAACGGCGGACAGCAGTGCTACTTTTTTCGCGTATTATTTATTTCGACAGATCACCGAAAGGGCTCGGCAGGATTCCCCGCCTGCCATATTCTCGTTCTCCACTGATAACAATAAAGGCGACGCAAAACGCATTTAAATGGCAAGACCATCTATGGTAGATTCGCAGTTCCGGGGGAAATATCCCATTTCTGGTAGTGATGTCCCTGCTGGAAAGGGCATAGTTCCATAAAGCACACATCATTTACACAGCCCATGCACTGGCCACAGCTGCAGTCTCCAGATTCGCACTCCTGGCCATCTAAGCAAGGACTTTTCAATTGACCAAGTGTTTTTAAGATGTCGTTCCTGGGCAACGCCCTGTGATTTAATCGTTGTTGTCAATGTTTCATCGACTGTAGGAGAAATACTTACGTTCCAAGCCGGAGGCAAGCCCCCAAAACCAAAAGTATTTGGAACAACAGATTCCCGGACATCACCTGCATTGTGACAGTGCACTGAACACACTACTAAATCAGATAGTTTGATTAAATCGATTTATATAGATGACGGCGTTGGTGATAATGGCAACGCGCAACGAATTAATTAGGCGTTCTGTTTATTTCAAATCTTTGACCTCAGGCACCTGCAACTTTTTAGGAAATCTGTCGGGGAATCCACACATGCGCCTCATTTGACCTCCCACTTCATTGACTGATGCAGGTAGTCGCCATCTGGACTGGAATAGTTCTTGATGGGGGGAGTGGCAACAGGCCCCTTAACGGCGACGGGGAGTAGCTGGGGATCCACTTCAATGGCAGCTTGATACAGCTCCTCAGACTCTCGGCGCAGCTCGGCTAATGCCTTGTTCTGTGCCTGAATCAAGCGGTCGATGATCTGGAAGTCCGCCACCCGCTCGTCGTGCTTATAGTGCGCCCATTGCTTCTTCAGCAGGGCTCGTTCTTCTAGCTCAGCACTGCCCAGGGGCGGTAGCTTCCTCTGTCGTTTCCTGCAGGGGAATAATTATTACATATTAATCTCAAAAATATGCCTATTCCAACTCACTCTTTCTCATCAATAAGTTCCAAGGGGACCTCCAGCTCTTCCACTGGCTTCAGCTGCCGTGCATTCTTCTCCAGCCTACGGATCTGCTTCTCGATCTTCTTTTTCTTACGGTCCTCCCTCTGTTTAACGATCTGAGGATCCAATTTCTTCTTTTTCTTGAGGGGTTCAGCGCAGAGAATTGGAGTCGTGTGAAGGCATCGTGCGACAGCGGCACCGGCGGCTCCTCCGCTCCTCTGTAATCCTAATCTGTGAAAGAAAATATTAGCGGTGGGTTAGCAGGGGTGTTGTCTAGGAGGAGGTGCAAAAAGGTGTAAACACTCACCTGGCAAAGGCGCCCAAAAGCGACATTTTTAATAAACAAAATTGATAAAATAAACTTTTGCGTAATGGGCGAACAGCTGTTTTTGTTGTTGTTGTTAAATTATTTAGCGATGGGAAATTGTTGATGTGAAAGAGTAAATCGAGTATTGAATGGAACCCCGACCGAATCGAATGTTTTTACTCGATGTTTGATGTAGGTGTAGTGGCAGTCGAATACCACTCGATTGCTCACATCTATCGATAGGTCATCTGTACATTTGCAGTTCTCTTCAGCGAGTGCGTGTATGGAGCGACAGAGATAGAAAGAGAAAAAAGTGGCGTCGGAATGAGTTGAGTATCGGAACGGGAGCAGCCCCACAGCCCCAAAGCCCCACAACTAGTCGCTTGTAGTTCTCAAAAGCGCGCGTCGTCAGTTCCGCAGTTCTCTTCCGCCAGTGCGTACGCGTGCGAGTGTGTGTGTGTGCGGCCATACCTCCAAATTCTTGCCGATCACTTTAATCGGATCATATCGGTTTGGATTGGACTGCATTTCTGCTGCCGGTCTCGGGACTCATCATATCGCCAGCCTGCGGTGAGTACTCTATGCCGAGGCATTTTCCGGGCTCCGAACTGGACACGGGATTAGTCATCGCAGTTCGCGGTGGTTTAATTAAAAAAGTGGCGGTTGCTGTCTCCTGTTCCCGCCGCACCCAGTTGCAGGCGGTGGCAAAGAGAAGCGGGCGCGGAAGCAACAGCCAACTAAGAGAGCGGCACAGCGGGAGAGCGCACACGTGTCCAGCGGTGCAAGGGAGAGAGCTAGCCCAGGGACGGCGTCCCACTTCCGAGGGGGATCGATGTCTCCGCCTTCAAAGTGAATAACATTAACCACATGTTGATGCGGGTGCAGTTTGTCAGCTAACAGCCTGTGACTATTGATTTAATCAAAGTTAATCAAAAGCTTTGCCCAGAATGAACTAATTGACTTTTGTTTTTGAAGATAACTACATATTAATATTTTAAAAGTAGTAGAGAAGTAATCACGTAAAAAGGAATCATGGCCAAACTAGTCTGTTTATCATTTAAGTTTAAAAAACTTAAGCGTCAAAATATCCACGCCAACATCACCTGTGGCATTTCGTAGCAATTTTTATTTTGTTTTACTTTTGCAATTTTCGGTTTATTTGGAGTGCAGCAATGTCGCCAATGTCACTCAATCAAGAAAGTTTCACCTGTCCGACCAATGCGGAAGCGTCGAAAAACGCTGTTGCATTCGCATTTTTGCAGGTTTCTGCAAGGGTCAGCAAGTTAATGCGCCAAATACCTGCCCGATGTCCAATCTCCAATCAAAATATATGTCGTGTCGTGACATCAATTTATGCTGGGCCAGTGGTGACATGAACACCCAGATTCTGGATGCATGCACTCGGGTCGAGTCAATGGCTTTCACCCAGGCGAATCGCATGCGCAAATGCTGTTGTAACATGCTAATTGATCACTTGCACCTTGGCCTCCGGTCCCGGGGTGTGTATAAATTATTGTTAGCCTTTGCGATCGTCACTCTGGCTAAAAGCAAAGTCAACAGATGCTTATTAACCAGCCATAGAACATTTGCAGGGTAAACAATTAACGGCCATTCCGATAAAGTCGTCTTTTGTCATAGTCGCATCTGGAGACATTTCCATAGGTCGAGAGTACGCGGCATTGTTTCGCCTTGAAGATAAGAATAAGTCTGATAGGATTGCATCAATATTAAAACAAAAGGTAGGAAAACCTGGTACACTCGTCTTAATACTTATGAATATTCGGTCTTAATGTGATGACAAACGTGATCCTCTAAGAATACAGATAATCTTAAATATTTATAAATGGAAATTAGGTTTTGTCTGAGATCTTTTGTATTTAAATTATTCTAAGCAGTAATCAGTTTGAAAAAGGGATGGAGGAACTTCACTCTTCGTTAGCTGAAAATGCAATTATTTCGAAGCCGCAAAAATCAATCTGAAAGAGGTTAAAGTCAATTTATCAATCAATCTATCTACAAATTTGTAAATTCGAACCTATTAATCGGGGCCCAGTGTTTGTGATTCGATGATGATTAAATAGGAACCACTTTACTCTGGAGGGTTCAAGTTCATTACTTGCTACCAGCAGTTCTCTTAAGAGGCCCCGCCACTGAACGAGAGATGAAGAGCAATAAGATATGGCAATATCTGGCCATATATTCTTACATATATACATATGCTTGTATGGGGAGCACTCACACTCTTTCGCAAGCGAATTTATCGGACCGCATAGAAATTTCATTCCGCGATGCCTGCCTGCAAACGGCGTGCGTCCAAAGTCCAAGCGAATTTCGGATCGATCCGATGCGTGTTCTCGGGCATACATATATCGCTAATATATGTTTTAACAGCGCATGCTTAATAAGCACTTCTCGGCACTGTCATTATGCTTAAAGTTCCTCAACCGGTTTGCCTGCCCTACCAGCGAAAAGAACATTGATTTCGACCGATCTCCGGGCCACTCGTTTGGTCCGCCTCTCGGTCATTGTACCATATTTGATGTTCCCATGGATCCAGAAATCCATGCCGCCGCATGTGCCAGTCATTTGTTTGATCACAAACATTTGAATGGAGCCGCAACGGTGACAAAAGGCAGCATCGGGAATCAAGAAAACAGCCTCAGTCCGGCCCACCTGTTGCTGAGGAATAAAGAACTTGGGGTTCCGTTAGCTGCGCAGTGATGCTTAGCTGCCAATTCTGAGCAGTGAAGACAACTTGGGAGATTTAACGCCAGAAATTACAAATATTAAAGCTCTTGTATGTATTTTATTTAAAATTAGAAACCAAATTAAACCGTTACCAATATATTGTGAATGCAGTGCAATCTCAAGAAAGTAATGCTTCAATTTTTATAAAATAAAAAATGTAGAAGTAACATTTTTTTGTACTAAATTATTTACAATATTTTTATAGAAATTCATAAAAATGCCTACCGTATTCTTGATATCAATAACTTTGAAATTCGTTGAATGAAAATTCCAGTAAATATATGAACATGTATCTACAGAACTATAAAACTCTTGAAGTGATGAGATGTTCACATTTAAACCTCTGATTAACCATTATTTTTTATATTTATTTTATAAAACTTTTAATCTAAATTTTGATTGGTTTTATTTTTAATTAAAATATTGGACAACCTTAAAAAAGATTACACCGCCACTTGGGTTTCGAATAAACTGAATATTTTCAGGGTTGCCTCTTTCTCATTTGACTTTGACGAAATTCATATATTTCGCACATTAATCTGACCATTTTTGGGAACTTGTCTCGTTTCTTTTCTCTTTCGTTTGTTGTCGTTTCTTCTCTTCATTTCTCTTTGCCCTTGTATATGCGTATTCACATATATACCCATGTAGTTATTTGCTTGGCTTAAGTATTTTACTTTCATTGTCTTTACCATAATCCAGACGGGTTTTATGTATTTTTGGCAAACCCACCTGGCCGGTCGGGTATTATGTAAGATGAACTCTCAATGGTTTCACCGCGCCCTAGAATGCTAAACAAAAAAAAAATAGCAGAAGCGCAGCAGATCGCAAAGCCCGGGAAAAGGCAAAGCACCTCCGGCAATAGTGACATCGGTTAGCGATCCGGAATTTTGCATTTAAATATCATTATCATTAACCCAGAGACGCGCTGTCGAGAGTGAAACTTTCATCGAGGGACCCAGCCAGTTGGCCAGTTGGACAGGTGAAGTTGTGTTTGGCCTTCCCATCGAAGACCAACGAAACAAATAGGTTTCGGACCGAAGGGTTGCTCTGGGAGCAGAGGCGGGCGTGGTCCGCCATCCACTTGCGCTTTCGTTTCCACATTACCCATTACCTCGTACTCCGTACTCCATGCTCCGGGCGATCGGAGCAAGTGATCACTGGGCTGCCTTTATTTGTTTTTGTATTTTTTGTGGAGCTTGGAATGCCAAACATTTAACGGCGACGACGCAGCTCCAAGATTTCGAACTTACTTTATACTACTGCCGTGGATTACTTTGAACTGGGAGAAGTACATGCACTTGAAAATACTTGTACTCGTATGTTTACATTATTTTTATACCCGGTATACTCGATGAGTATAAGGGCGTATTGTAATCTTGGAAAGCTATAAATATATATAGACAAAGAGTAGGGAGCGGTTCGAACCTATAAAGTATATATGTAGGATCCTGATAAACATTTAGATCATTTGCACTAACGAGTACATGTTACTGAGAGGTGTCTACAATTTCAAGGAACATAGTTGGAAAATTACTTAGGGAATCAATTACATATCAAGATGCATTCATCTTTGGCTTTATAAAACTCTACTATTAGGCTATGGAAAACAAATTCTGGTAACATACTGTGCTTTATTGTGGACAGAGTAGCACAAACAACAACTTTTCATTTAGCTTATCCCTTTTTTTGTGTGTTTTTAAATTATATATTAAGTGCCCGCATTATTTTGTTTTTGCCGCCAAAAAAAGGTTGGGCAGGTGTTTCCATCGACCTCCATCGACTCTCCCGTGCTGTTTACACACACTAAAACACTTGGCAGACGTTCGTGTGCCCCACTCATTCATAAATAAAAAATGTCGAATAAATTTGCTCGGTCCGTTTTCCACATCTACGACGAGTAAGTCATGTGGGAGGCAGAGGTACTGGTGGGCATGGATCATCATCGTTTGTCCATGCAATCAGCGCTATCCGCCGCTAATCAGATGCGTCCACATAGTCACACACACATATATAGAGGAGTATGGGAATCCACGAGATTGGGGATGGGAAATCTGCGGAGTTCCGGCCAACCAACAAAACGTATCCATGAGGTATCGAAACGTCTTTGGTAGCTGCGCAACTTGACCATGAAATCCATTTCAAACTACGTGCTGTTATTTCCGTTTTGTAAGCGAGTTAATTTGCGTTGTTTCGACCAATGATTTCTGCAATTTCACCGCACTTTGCAGGACGGACAATAACACTGACTGACTTTGACCCGATTAATTTCTTGTTTTATTTTTGTGGTTTTCAATTAATTGTTCATATTTAAGTTTATAACCAAATACGCCTGGCTTGGCTTCTAGCAAGCGGTTTGCACTTTATGATTACAAAAATTAAATATTTTACATTAATTGCAATACTAAAGATGTGAACATAAATGTATAATGTATTATACTAAATGGAAATATTTAAACGTATAGGCATTCGATTCTCAGAACCCAGTGTTTACTTATGGTTTTTAACGATGTCCAAAGTTTTATTTTCACACTGTAAAATGTAATCAAGCCTTTTAGGAGTGCATGTAAGCAGTATTCTTTATAGACAGAAGTAAACAATAAATAAATAAATTCATCTAAACAGCCTGCAAACTTGCCCGCTCAACAAATGTTTAACACATCAAAAGGCCTCGACTCCTGAACCAAGGCTATTTTAGCTTAGAATGCATTTAGGCCTAGTTTAGGAGGATTGTAAAGTTCAAAACCTGCCTAAAAAAAACTAATTTAAATATGTTAATATCAGAGGCCGTAAAAAAAGGTACCGCTTTATTAATGAGTATT